TCCCGAGTGTTGGTTCAAGTGAAGAGTTTACTCCACTTCTATATTTCAATAACTAATGTGGATAACAAATATTTGATCTGGGCTCTTCTCCATTAACTTTTTACAAAACCAAGGAACTTCTAAAATATGCTTTGTCACATTTTTCTTGGACGTATATATATATATATATATTATCTTGGTTTTTTGGGACAAGGAAACTTTTTAAATTTGACGCCTGAAGAAGCGCAGACGCTTCCCCGAGGAGAGCTGACCTGATCAGCTCGGGGTGTCGATGGGAGAGCTGATCCAAGACCTGTAAAACAGAGAAGATGAGCTAACAGAGGGGGCCCGAGGGTTGTCCCCGAGGGCGCTCCGACGGCCAAGTTAGTTTTCCGGTGAGTAGAGTTCACGGGAAGTAGCAACTGTCCAGAGTTAATTGCCAATAATCAGCGTCCCTTGTACAGTGGATGTGTGCTATTATTTATACCTGCGAGGGAGTCCGACCTCCGCACGACGCGGGACTTGCCCGGTATAGATAGTATCCCGCACTCGGGGGGGACTTCCTCCGACCTCTTCGGGATGGACCTTCGCCTCCCCTGGGAGCCCTAGTCGGTACGGCCCGGGGCTGCTCCCAGGGGTCTGAGGGCCAAGGCCCAGCTCGGCCATTCCTGGGCTGCCACGTGTCTGGGCCCGGAACGGGGCCTCTGCAACGCCACTGGAAAAGGAGTAGTTTTATATGTTGGAGAGGACTCAAGAACATGCATGACGGCAGGTGGAAAGAAAGTGACGTCAACATCAAATTTTCTTTAGAATACCTGCATCTGTCATCTTAACCAAGGAGCACAGGATAGAAACGAAGAAATGTTGGAAGGGGAAGAAAAGAAGCAAGAATTTTGATATTTTCATATTCGGGGGAAAGTTCATAGTAAAAACCAAATGGAAAATCAGTGGCCGAATGGTCAAGAATGTCAAAACTGAGCCTTTTGATAGTGTGGGCAAGAGATTAGCTTTAGCCTTCAGCATAAAGTTGTTGCTGCAGATGTTACTGGGGACAGAATCATTAAAGAGATCAGAGACTAAGTCCAAAACGCTAAAACTAACTGGATATTTAGCTTGCTTTTTTTTTTTTTTTTGTCGAATACATCATAACTTCATTTCATTTTGTAAACTTGATATTACAAGACTATACAGCAGATTCGCTTCCTCTGAGGTCACTTTGGGCTTCCTCTTGGAGCCACATGGGAAAACATACATCCCATTCAACATTTGTTGTTAGCTTGACAGCAAATTTTGCTACACTATGTGCACATCTATTCCCATCTCTATGCACAAAAGAGAAAATACATTGTTCAAACAAACCTCTCCTATTTGCTATATCCTCAAGGATATTTAGCTTGCTTGAGCGAGAACTTTTATGTGTTAACACTTTCTACTTTTCTCTCCACACTTGTAAAACGATGTGTCATGTTATGAGAAGTCAGAATCTGAACAACTATTTTCCCATCTTATATCCCTCTTACAGAAGTTGGGGAAATTTGGAAAATGCATGACTTGTAATCCGAGTTGAAAAACTATACAATTTGGGGAAATTACTTCTGGATGACTTGTGAATTTGTATTATGTCACATGATCTTTCAAATATTTTAAAATATCCACATAATTTTTTCATGTCTTTATATAAGTAAAGAAATGGATGGAAAGCATCTGTGTTTATCGCAATTGACCGAGACTCGTTTTCAAAACCAGGGATGATGAAATTACGATGTTCATGTAACCTCCTTATATTTTTACTTATGTATTCATCTAACCCTATTGTTTCGCATGTGTCCACATAATCCTTCTATGATATATGTAAAACACTTAGACCACTATTTTGTTTAGTACTAAACTAAGAGTAATGCTGGCATTTCTATCAACGACGATAGAAAGACTGCTTTCCATCAAATTTTCACTTTGTATAACTACACGGTATTATATAACTATTTTAAAATTTTAAAGCTGTCATATAATTATATACGAAACTAGTAATTTACCCTAAAGAATTTTGACTGGGGTTAAGACTAGAATAGAAAGTCGAATCTCAATTTCGAATGAATCAAATCTCCTACAACTGCTGGGAAGTGGGAAGGCCGAACGATCTGCCATTCTTTATCCTTTCTTTCCTTTTCTTCCCAGCATGTCCAATACCAAGTGTCGTCTGGTCTTGTTCTCCTTATCTTTTGCCCTAGAGATGATGTACGCCGAAAAAGACAAGTATTACATTAATTTAGAGGGTAGCATTAAGCATCGACATCAACCACCTAATTCTATTTATACCACCTGGGAATCATCATTTAAATACCATTCAGCTCATACCTTCTGAACTATCATTTATTTGCAATTTTGCATTTCCGAGGAACATTCTTCGGTGTTCAATCTTCAAGCCATTAATCAGATTAGAAAATACTCAAGGCTCACAAAAATGGAGGCCTGGTTAGAGACCACCTATGGGAGAATATCGACCTATTGCGTTCAGAAAATTACAGCCGTGAGCAGAATGCTTGGGAATTTGATCTTCTTCACGTCAACCTCACCTTCATCTACGTCGGCTATCCCAGACAACCCTCCTCCTCCTTCTGTACTTGACCTGGAGGCCGCTGTCCTTGAGGAGCAAAACATTGATCCGCAACCAGCTGTACCAGTTTCCGGTGGTGTTGCTCCTGCTCACCATGTTTATCAACCACCATATCATTTTGACTTGGCAGCTATAATCATTGCATTTTGCTTGACTTCAGCAGTTGAAATAGCTCTTCAATCCCTTCAACCCCAAATCAAACTCCCTCCGCTCGTGCACTTGCTCTCCCTTGCAATGATGTTTGCTTTCGCCTCTACTTTCGTGTCGAGCATCATTGCTCAGGATCTTCCAAACTTCGCAAATGCCTTAATACTAATGGCAAAGCTATCTATTTTCACAGCATTCTTTCTTGCAATAACAGTTCCTTTCTCGTTCTCTCTCAAGATCATATCTTGGTCCATTTTCGGCCTTTGCTTGCTGATCAGAGTCTATGCTGCCGTAACCAATGGACGCGTTCCTCAAGCATGATTATGAATAAAGTTAAGAACCCAAAGGAAAATTGTGAATTTTCTTTAACGCTTTATATGTAATAATTTCCCTGCACCCGAAGGAAAAAAAATGTTTTTTGCCCCCTCTATGTACGTTTGGTCGGGTACTAGGAAACGCTAGCTTGAGCAGGCCAGCGCTTGGCGCTAAACCCTAAAATTCGACCTTTCAACTATTATGAAGTCTGTTGTAGCCGCCTAAATAAATGAGGTTACTTTGTGTTTCTGAAGTTTTAATATACATTCCTCTCAACTTAACAAATTAAGCAACAGGTTTAGTATGAATATTTGATCAGGAACGATTTGTCTTTTCTTGGATCTTTTATCGAAATTGATAACAATTTTGAGAGGATGACATGATTCAATGAGGCCACTTGCTAGTTGATACTATCTAAACCTCATCCTCGAGTTTAGATACGCCCATCTCCTGAAGAGTGAACATGCACCCGTGATTTCTCATAATTTCTGGTATTCGCATTGTGTCTGCATGTAATCTTAAAATCATAACGTCTGTGATGCAACTATTGACCTAAACTGAAAAAACTTGCAATCTAAACATATTCTCATTTCTCCCCCACACTGGATTAAGAACCTTGATCCAAAAAACTCATACAAAAAAGTGTTGGAACGAAATTACAAAAAATTTAGAGCACAATGTTTTAATTCAAAAAAGTGAAATCTTACAGAAGTGAAAATGTGCCAAAAATTTCATCCATCAAAGAAGTATTTAGATACAAGTATATCAGCTCAGCCCTGTAAATTATGAAGTTCATCAAACCAGGATCTACAATTAAAGCAACACATGTAAACATTAATACAACATATGTAAACAGTATTGCCCATAGTCCATTCCCACCACCACCACCACCTGCAAAGCTACTATGTTCTTCTTTTCCATTTTATTTCTACACTTCTATTTTGGATACAACATGTAGAGCTTATACTTCAGCTGTTCTTTTCTAAACCATAACGTATCTCATAAAAGCAATCCGTTCCCTAGAAAATGTAACATGCACTGATCTACATACACAGGATAATTTTATTTTGGTAGAAACAAGGGAGTAAATATAAGCAAGTTAAGTTGATCTCTCCTATAACACCTAAAGTGTCTTTCAGAATGTAAAGGCCTAACTTCAATAGGCAGTTTATCACGGGACGCCCTAGTAACTTTCGATTCTTCTGTATTACTGATTAAGAGTCCCACACAGTATATCTGCTTATCCGAGAGAACAAAAAAGAATATACCAATGCCTCATTTAAGAAGACTATCATACAATTTGAAGAAGGAAATGACTCAATCTTAGAGGTAGCTGAAGCAAAACCTTAGTAGTAATACCTTCTTGTAAAAAGCAATATCACAACATTTGAAGAAAGAATAACAAGTACTTAAATGGGTAGATCAATCAGGAGTGTAAGTTGATCTTTTTCTATACCATAAAAGAGCTACCATTATGCCTGGCTACTGGAGGCTCCGGACTATCAGTTGCCGCATTAACGGCTTCCTCTTGTTGAATCTTATCATCAAGTGTGTTTCTACTTTGCGGTAATCAGCAGCGATTTGCTGGCAGTCCAAGCCTCCAGCAGTTTCTCTTTCAACTTCCACTTTGTAGGCCTTGCACTGGCCTTGTCATTGGCACCTTTTGGGCCTCAAAATATATTCCCAGAAGACAGACAAAAGTCGGATTGTTTCTAGAGTTACTGCGTTCTTCATTGCCTTCACCTTCTCTTTTCCTCTCAAACTTAATTCTGGGACTTTCAATACGATTTTCCAAACAAGATTATCTTCTCCGGCATGTATCATCTGTTTTATGTGGTCAAAGTTGGTTCTGTATTTTATTATATCAAAAATTGGTAGAAAATTTTCACATGATACAGAGCTGCCACTTTCAGGTATAATAAGTCAAAAATTTTAGACCATATCATGATACAGAGCTGCCACTTTCATCATCAGGCTTCGATTAGGCACAAAAATGGGCACTAGCGGGTGCCAGTGTAGTTGCCCTGTTATGATAAGGCAGTAAAAAGAATTACAAATACACTTTTACGGATCTAATCTCAAGGCTTCAATCACTAATTGAATAACGCAAAACGTAGCAAATGTAAAAGAATGGGGCCATGGACATTTCCTTTTTGGTGAAAACATTCATTGTCCCTTGGTAGTAGTGTGTTTCTTTTTCCCTTTTTGTTTAGGATGGAGCATCATCACCGTGAGTGATAGACACTTTGATTGTATTCTTACCCATTGATTCCATAGTCCTCACGTCTGCATCACAGGTTATCAATATCCAGTCATCATCTTCATCCAAATACCAAAACTTGAAATCTCCAACTTTTAACTTGAGCCTTGATGCCGCTTCCATCTCCATATCTACCAACCGTGACGAAAATCGAAGTTGAAACTTAATCTTCTTTATCCCTCCATATGCAGCCTTTATCATCATGAAGCTATCCTTCGCTATTGTTGCAGCTTGTAAGGAATTGTGCTTGCTGGAATTTGTACCTTCTTGAGAAGACACATTAGGATGTGAGACCTCCTGACCATATTCTGCATTAGGTATTTCGCGGTCTTTGTTGGATTCAGTGCTAGTAGGAGAGCAAGTGCCCTGGTTTCTCTTGCGCGGCCACCTTGGGATGCCAAATTTCCTACATTTCCTCTTGAGCGTGGATGGACTCACTGAAAATTCGGAATAGGAAATAATATATGCATCATTGAGCTAAAAAATGGCCAGATAATTTGTTGAGTGCACCAGAATATACCACTGTGACTAACCTCTAAGACTCTTAGCAGCATCTTTAAGCGTCAAATGAGAGTGTTTCTCAATAGTTTCACGGTCAAGTTTGTCCAAATCTGATGCTGAACTTATGCTTTCCTTATTTACAGAAAAGTCTACATCACGACTTAGAGGTGCATTGAATCCAGCATCTTCTGCAACTAAGCTTTCCAAATTATCTTGAGCTGGAAAACTAAATGTTGAAGCAGAGGAATTAATATTACTGTTGCCTTCTTTCACGGATTGAGTATCACAAGAATCTTCCTTCCATGCAGCAAGATCATCACCCGTTACGAGGCTAAGTTTTGAATCAGAGGCTTCTAATAAGCGTGGGTATGAAACCAAATCCTCCAACCGTTGTTCGTCAGCGATCAATGTGTTTGCAGTATTTATTGAACTAAGTAGCCAGTTTTGGTCATCTGGGAACAGTTGTTGATGGATTGAGGAACCACGATCCAGCAGTTCATCAGAACCACCGTCAGTATGAAACAATCTGAACAAATCGAACTTGTCTTCTTTTAAAACTTTCAAAACTTCAACAAACATCTCATCCTCCAGTGTATGCCCAGAAGCAAGTCTGAAACTATTGAGATGCTTCTTCATCGTGAGTAAGACAGATTCCAGAAGTTTTCTAGGATCAGCAGTCTTAAAGGGCAGAAAGAGCTCAAGTACATAAACATCATTCCCCGTATGATCGCTCTTTAAACAAATTGCTAAAGAGCTGTCTAAGAGAACCTTTTTGCCAACGTGAGCAAAGGAGTAATCAGCTATGCTCAACTTGGTTACATCTCTACAGAAGCACGGATAACCTGTAGAATATGATTTCCAAACAACCCCTCGCCCCCTCAATAGCGGAAAACTTTCACAGGTATCTCTAAATAAAGAGAATCTTGCGTGTGAGAGGTAATATTCGTTACTCGTTGTTGAAAGGGCATTATCTGTGTAGCTATGACATTTCCCTAACTGAGGCATCCAGGTCTGAGCAAAAGGCAAATTGTGTGTTTGGCATGCATCACCTAATGCTTTGCGGATGTCACGCAGTGCATGGGATATATCTGTTGAGCTCTGCTAAGAAAATTTTCCGAGAGAGAAAGGTAATTAGAACTTCAGCATTAATGGAAGAAAGTTTTATCGGTCATTGACAAAACAAAACTGCAACTTACCTTCGCCAAGTCGCTCTCCAAGTCAAAATCGCTGGTAAAATTTGAAGTCCTCAATTCTACCCCCTGTTCAAAACAAAAACTGTTAACATCTAGAAAAAGAAATAGTTTGAATAACAGACCGGGAATAATTTTGAACTAGAAGGCAATTGAGCTTCTTGATAGAGGAATAAAAGCATATTTCAGCAGCTTGTACCAAGGCTTTGACAAGTAAGACTTAAATGCATTGCACCATAAATTGAAGAGCATTCTAACGTCTATGACACAAATTATGAACTTAGAGTAAATTGCAATAATTTTTTTAAAAAAAAATAAAAATTGTGAAGTACTAGATGGAGTATTACTTGATATTAAAAGAAAATGAAGCTAATACTATACAAGAATAGCGATTTGAATAACTCTTCCTACCGGTTTCGAGTGCTAGGTGAGGAGGAAGCAAGGACAAACCTGAAGTGCCGTCGAGATTAACCCAAATATATATGCAGGCTTATCCATCTCTGCTACAATGTTTCAATGATTCAGTGAAGGTGTTAAGTGCAACGGTATTAATAGCAAGAAAAGCACCAACTCACCAAGGGGAAGAGGAAGGGGTGGCGGGCTAATGTGCAGCCCTTTATCAAACATCCGAACCTTTAGGCAGTTATAGTACCAGTATCAATGAGAAAAGTACCTAGTCTTATTGCAAACAACGGTATGAATTTAACTTAACCAAAATAATATGTGACATCTGCTAGTTTATAAAGAGATCGAAGATCAATTGAGGGCTAATTTATTGCAGAAAATCATTCCATCAATACTAGATATTCTGTAAAAATACATCAAACACTTCCTCATTAGGATCTTGAACGTCAGCATAAAGTATTATCAAGACAAACTTCATTTCATTCTAAAGGGAATTCATCTATGATATTGCACTAAATAGAGGACGAATTTAACCTAAAGGAAAGTGAATCTAATTCACGACTTAAAACCAATTTCTTGTTATTCATTACGAGGTTATATTCCTCTAATTTGCACCAACAGATAATTTGACATCTGTCAATTGAACTTTAGGATTTAGATTTAACCTAACAAAACAGTGCGGTGTCAAAATATAAGTGTCATTGCAAATTTGGCAACACGAGGATTTTCCAATTAGCCGAATTTATACTTGCGAAAAGCTAGCTGTAAAGTAAAATGAAATATTATCCCTGGTGGACGTAATTCGGTCTTCCTACTCTAAAACAGTTAAAAACTAGTTGAAGAGGTAAGTCTTAATCATCATATTTATAAACCAACACCTATAACTTCTGTTACAACCGACGTTCAATAGCCCAAGAATCCCCCTAGGTCGATGTCTACATATACGTTGGTGGCCAATGCTCATAAGCAAATTCTATTTCAACTCTTGAAAAAGCATTGGACTCGATGAACTTTCGAGCCTCACACGTTAAGCTCAGACACGAGTAGTTCATTAAGCTTGTCGAGCTATTTGAGTTGAAACTGATGATCGAACGAAGCTTGCAAGTAGCGGGATTGAGCTCTACTCAGTTGCAAGTAAATAGAAAACTATGGGTCTATATGAATATGATATTTTTTTCAAAAATCGTTTTTATATTTAGAGCCCACAATATTAATAATAATTTTAGAAAGACACACACACACAATCTCAAATGCAGCTTACAAAAATACCCCCAAAAATAAAAAAATAAATAAAAAAACAAATCCTGGCACATTTTTTTCTTCCACTACCACCACTACCACTACCACCGCCACCCCCTCCTTCCTCCCTTCCCCTCCCCTGCCCTCCCCGCCTTCCTTCTTCTCCCTCCTTCCCCCGCCTTCCCCCACTCCCCTTCCTTTCCCACGTCTGGCCGTGACCAGAAATTGTGAAATTTTAATACTAATTACTTACCTCTAACTGAGTCAGCAGTTGAAACCAGCTCAATTACGCCAATACATTCTCGGGAATTGGGATCGAACACAGGCACAGCCATATAGTCGCTTATCTTACGGCCCATAGCCTCATCCCTTAAAGGATATTCCGAGTCCGCGTAGAACTCCACGCTTGGGCTATACTCCGGCAGTCCACGAAGAAAGACACGTGAAGGCGGACCAGTGAGAAGCACGCTTTCTCTTACCCCTCCTCCGCCATTCCAGTCCACATCCACATCCACATAATCAGCACCACCATCACTACTGCAGGTATTATCCGTACAGTAGTAATAATTCAGACACAGCTTTCTGTACGAACATAGTCCTTTCCTTAAGCAAGTCAACCCAAAAGGCTGGTCTGAGGATTTCAGGAATCGCCGTCCCCCGATCATCACCGGCACCCAGAACTGAGCTAGCATTGCTCGATTATACAGGAGATCAACATGCTGCAGCGCAATTTTGATCTTGTCCTTGACGATGGGAGGAGGAAGTAAAGGTGGACCCACTATCCAAAAAAAAAAAAAAATAGTACTTAGTAATGCAAGTAAAAATATACAGAGTGACGAAGGGAGAATTGATGGCCAAATAAAAAAAAAACTTTAACAGTTACCCTGGGAAAAGAGTGTCTGATAGCTATTTGATTCATCATCTTCCTCGTCCCAGAAAACACGAAAACTTTTGCGAGAGGTGCTTACGGACGTGTGAAGTTTAGTACCAATGTAATCCAGGAACTCCGATTTACTAAAAGTTCCGTCAATATCCTCAACGTCGTTGGGGCATCGTGTTCTAACTTCAGCCATGCCCGCCCTTGCACGGGGCGACGACGGCCGATTTTCCTGCTCCCGCGCCTAAAATGAGAGTCAACCAAAGTCTGCTTTCCTTTACAGCAGATTGACAAAAGGGAGATTTTGCTGGAGAATATGGTCGTATTAGTGGTCTTGAATTGACATATTTCTGGAAAAAGAAAAAAAAAATGAAAGATGAAGAGCTGAATATGTTAAGAGTTGGGCTGCAAACGAGCGGAATCAAGTTTTGGTCTAATCGAATCGAGTCTTAATTTAATTCTATTGAACTTGAACTCAATCTTGAACTCGACGAATCGATAATTTAAAGCACGAGTTCGAAAAAAATAAAAAATAATTATTTTATTTTTTAAAAATAAATAAAATAATATTTTTTCTTAATAAATAATAAAATATATAAGGATATATGAGACCCCGAATCCCCAGTCCTTGCACCCTGAACCACTGAGCCCTGGGTTCAGAAAGGCGAGGAATTGACTGTCCAACTATATATGTTGATGAATTGTGGTAGTTTTCTAGTATACTACAGCTTCTTATATATTAGGTATTTTCTTTCAAAAATTTTATTATAGCTGTGCGTGTGAAAAACTTTCTACTGTAGATTGTTCGTTTGGATTAGATAATTTTGGAGATGTACTTTGGCGTGTTTTTAAAATTTATAATTTTATTGAAATATTTTTTTAAAATTTTTTTTTTTTGATGGGTGGTGGGTAGAAGAAGAGAAAGAGGTGGTAGAGGTTATTTAATTTTATATTATTATTATTGTTTGGTTAAGTGTATTTGAGATTGTGCTTTTTTAAAAAAAATTATTTTTTAAATTTGTTACCGTAAATTTCATAGACAAAAACAGCTTGTGGAGGAAACGAGAAATCTTAAAAAGTTAATGCATCTACCAACGAATTAATTAAGTTGGATCTTCAATCTTTCTAGCAATGTTAGTACTCTTTGGGCAGCTCTCTTATTCGTCAACTTGATGTATCTATCTCGTCAATATTAATTGCATGACCATTTTATGTCTATAATTTTGTGACTTAACTTGGGCTTTTTATTTAATTTTCTAGTTGTCATGTTTCATCAAACAATAGCTATTCTGAATTTTGAGTAGTTAAAAGTTAAAAGGAGCATATGTATGTGGGCATTAAGTGTAATTCTTTAGTGTTTAACGCAGCGCGGGAGCCCACAAAATCCAAAACCGTGTATGCAAGCATTGTGTGTAGGTCTTTTGAACCCTTGGCTGAGGACCTTGAGATGTTGGTATATATCTCTGATCCCTTTTCTGGAAGACTGGAGCCATGGACCTGCACTTTGAGGACCACCCCTTCATGAACCACAATAGATGTTTGTAGTTTTCCCTTTCAATCAAACTAACTAATCCGAACTGTCCCACATGTGTCTTTTACATGTCTCTTTTTGTTTCCAGGAATACTTTTGCTTAGGTGTGAGTGAAGGGAAATGTAACTCTAATTTCTACTTTGAAGAACTGCCGGGGCAATGCATCTGAAAGTTCCAGCACGTGCACAGCGTAACAATGCACCAATGGAAATCAAAAGTCACTAAGTATTATGATAATTAAGGTTATTTCTTGTATTGCATTTCCATTAGACTAGAAATGATTTGCTACCTTTCTTTGGCGATGAATGATCGATACTGGTGTATCCATGCTACATGCTACGTGATGCATACGATCGATTCATCCAATACCATCTCGGGGGTTGGATGCTTTTAGAAAAATCCTGCGAACCCCTTGGAAAAATTATCAACTTTCATAATGTGTTGCAGGTAAAAACATTAAGTATTGCACCCATTGGTTTCAAATAATGAAAGAAAATTGAAGTGATGATTTTTCTTTTCTCTGACACTAAATTAAATGAATGGAGCATTTAAAAACAAAACAAACGATGACAATTAATGTTGTGCTCATGCATATCTTATTTAATTATATATTCATGCCCCTGTGATATTAATTATGTTGTATATCTTGAAGTAAAATTTTAACTACATATCTATTATGCAATAATTTACTGATCCTATAAATTAACAACTTTTAGGTTAAATTCTCCATTTTGGCTTATTAACGTACTCAAGGGTTTTGTTTATTATCTCAAATTAAATCTCAATATATTTTTAACAACTTTTTTCTTTCACACACTATTATTTTGTCCCCATTCTTTTAGAAGTTGACTTATTGGCTAAAGTCAAGAGTCAAATTCTCAATCTTATTTACAATTGAAATTGTACAATTTAGACTGATCTTTACGTAGTATAAAGCCTACGAAATAGAGTGTTTGCAATTTTCATTTTGGACAAAATCACACGTGTCTATTCACAACAGTGTCGAATCCAAAAAAAAAAAATTCTTTAGTTGGAAAATGTTTCCCCCCGCTATAGAGTCAGCAAATGGGATGGACTTTGGAGACGGGGCAGAAAAAAAATAACCGTGCATGCAACTTGCATACACGGTTTTTTTTTGAACCCTTGGCTGAGGACCTTAAACCTGATCTCTGACCCCTTTTCTGGAAGACTGGAACCATGGACTTCCCTCACCCCTTCATGAACCGCAGTTTTCTTTATAAACGCATGCCATCCTGCAACTTCTTCAAACAAGTAAAATTACTTTGGTGAAGATGAAAATGGAGAAAGTCCAAGACTCTCCGCCACCACCCCCACCATCATCACCGGAGTGCCCAGCTGTCAAAGCCGAAATGGATTTGGAGGATCCCGGCCAACCAACGTCCCACCATCAACCGCTTCCCCAGCCAGCTGCTGCTGACCAGAACAACCGTCGTCCCGAAATAAATCCAGAATGGCTTACCTTAATTATGGGTTATAGCTTTGCAGCAATCGGCATCGGCATCGGCTTGCAGTGCCAAGGTTCCAGCCACCTACATCTATCTGTTAGCTTGGACGTGGCTCGGCTGGGTTTGGTTTTCTCCTTGGCCGCTTTTGTTGTCTCCAAGTTCGTGGCTCCAAATTTTGGAGCACAGGCTCGGTTGCTCCAGTACGTCGGAGTATTTAGCGGCGTCACTGCCTTTTTTCTGGCAATCACGGCCTTTTCTTCTCTGTGGCTCAAGCTCCTTTCCTGGGCCATTTACATAATATCTGCTATTGCGATTATCATCTCTTGGCAATTGGATTTTTTCAAACGGATGATCAAATAGCACTGCACGATTCAGCTTCAAGAAATTCGAGACAATACACGTATCGTTTTGAACATTATATACTGTTTTTCTTTTCCTTTTCTTCTCTTTTCGCTAAAATCTTGCTATTGTAATATGCATGTGTGATGTATCTGTCTTTCAAATAGATCCTGCTGAGGGGTAAAAAAACCAAAAAAAAAAAAAAACTTAAATTACGTATAGACTTTTGTGATCTGCTTGCTTGTTTCCAATGGAGATGATTTGATACTACTAATGTTTTTCATTTTGCCATGCCATTGTTGAGGGTAGCACAATACCAAATTTGTAATTTAGTACTTGAACTAAATTGTTGGAGTCTGAAGTTTGTGTCGTGTTAATGAGGCAAGTTCATATAAGCACTAGGTGACAGTCAGTAATGTTATGTTATACTGTAAAAAAAATGCAGTAGAAATTATTTTGCCTTAATATTTAAAAGGAGTTAATGGAAAAAACAAAGTGGAGGGAGGAACAGAAGATTTTTGCAGAGGACAAATAACCATCTAGCCATGCACTCCAAAAAAAAAAAAAAAAGAAAAGAAAAAGGGCTGAGAATCTTTAATTATTTCGTGGCCTTAATGGAATACCATCAAGAATACTGAGCATGTAATTAATCCAATTCTTGTTGACGGAAAGAGTAATGTTTTGCTTCTTGACTAAAGACCAAAGCAGTGATACGCTAACATTTCACAATTATCGCCAAGCATGCTTGAAGGCCCGTCTCCGAGCAGTATCATTCTTCAACAAAGGCCCATAGATAGACCCTAAAGTTCACCACTGCTAGTGCTAGCCCCATGGTTCTAAAAAGCTTGGGGCTTTTTTTCGATTGGAACTTACAAGTCCTATGATATGGGGCTGGGTTAATCTTTTATTTATTACTACCTGATTAAGACACATTCGGAATTAGGAGTATACATTGTAGTATTTTCCAGCCCTTGCGCAGCATCCATGCTAAAAGATTGGGCCCCTATCAGCTGGACCTTTGTCCTTTATCAAGTTCAAGTACGGCCATTAGACTCGACATGGGTCAAGACTTGTTATTTTAATCAAGGCACAATGAATGCGCCCGCTTAGAGATGGCAATTGAGTCGGGTGCTCAAGGGGCTACTACAGGGCTTAGAGAACTTTCCCTTTCTCCGTTAGAAAATGAGACGGGGTTAGGGGTGCACACGAGACGAACCAAATCGAGTTTTGATCTAATCGAACCAACTTTCAACTTAGTTTTATGAAAGTCGAACTCAAATTCGAGCTCAACGAGCTCTCAATATAAAACTCAAGTTCAACTCAAATTCGAGTGGAGTTTGAGCTTAAAAAAATAAAAAATTATTTTATTTTAAAAAATGAATAAAATAATAATTTTTTAACAAATAATAAAATATTAGGGATATATATGTGTAATTTTACTATTAAAATAAAAAATAATATATATAATCGAGTCAGCTGGCGAGTTAACAAGCTGAATAGCTTTGAACTCGAGTTTGACTTGGTCAGCTCGAGCTCGGGCTTGAACTGCTCGCAAGCGAGTCGATTTGTTTGTAGCCCTAGGCGGGATTTCCTCTCCTCCGTTAAAAATCGAGGCGGGGATGTGTGTCTATATATATATATATATATATATATATATATATATATATATATATATATATATATATATATATAATATTTAACTTAATTAGTTGCAAAATTATAATAATAATATTATTAGTTATAAGTATTATATAATGTATATTAGTATATATAATATAATTAATATTATCAATTATACTAATAGCTATACATGTCTACTAATGGAAATTATTAATTATTTATGCTAAATTTACTAATACATTTATACTAATTTCCTAATTACAGTTAACACAATAACATTATTTTTCTAAAAAAAATACAATAATGATTTGGTGATTGTATTTGTCTCAAAAGTAAAAATTTGACTACTTTAGTTGTATTTGTCTCATCATATTCGATTGTA